TTTTTAAGGTTACTCCGGGTCGGCCATCATGATTTTTTTGTTTCAAGATTTTACACGTGACGGTTTTTTTTTTTAAATAACTTACATGACCCGTTTTCAATTGTTGGACTTGTGTCGATTTTCGCCAATGGAAAGTGCTAATTTGCCGAGATGCTGCCGTGACGTTGGCAGTGCAGCGCGGCTGATACGATAAGCGGAGATACGGTCAAGGCCTCTTCAGAAACGCCGTCCGTTCCCTTTCTGACACGCTGAATACCGCTGAATACCGCTGAGTACAGCCTTTCAGAGACGAAGGCTGTTCTGGTCCCTGTTTCCCTTTCCTCTTGAGTATCTCTTTCTCTCTCTCTCTCTCTCTCTCTCTCTCTCTCTTTCTCTTCCTGCACTCGCTCAACCCTCTTATGCCCTGTTCCATCTACTTTGCATTTCGAATTTGGCATCGTATCTCAAGTGACCCACTGACTTTACAAATAGGTAAATTTAAATATTTTTCGTTACCCTGAACACAGCTACAAACAACAATCGGCACTGTTAAATATATTCGAATATATTTGTTCCCCACTTCAGAGCACTGCTTATGCTCTAACTAATAGAAAACTATCGTTAATTTGCAATGCCGATAAAGTTCCCATGAATTTCGTCGGTGGTATCAAAATTCAAGGAAATTACGAAACTCAACCGGTCGTTGCAGGATGCATTGCATATTAGAGTGCACTTCGCAGAAACGTGATATTTGAGTTTATCGCTAATTAATATCGCACGTAGAATCAGAGTACTCTCTATCAAATATATATATATATATATATATATATATATACACATGCAAAACTGCCTGACGTATATATCAGGACTTAGGTAGATTAAAAGGTAAACACAGAGCATTCAGCTAAAATACAAGATCTTCGTGTATGCCCACGATATTTTTATCCCTTGCTTTTCGTCTGTCTTTTTCTTTTTTTTTCTCTTTTTCTTTTGTATAAAATAAATAATTCATACGTCTTTCTTCTCGACGGTATAATTTTCAACTGGCACATTTAGCCTTGCTCGCACTCGCGAGACATTGCCAATATATCAGAGACGTCCCTGAAAACGTAATTTCATTGATCGGTCTACATTCGCATTAATATCCAAAATTTAATCGGGAAAATTAACTGGACCAAATTTTCCATCGTAGAATATATATCGTTAGCACTGGGCGATAAAGTAAACATTAATTCGCGCTTCGCGAATTGTAAAAAAAGAAACACAATAGACATTACCGTATAAATTCGCGATACGTTAAAACAATTGGCGGATCGATCCTTCGGATTGTCTGGTAATAATCCCGATACAACGTAAATATCCCAAAGTCGTGACTTTGGTTCTGTCCCGATTTCTTCGTCGAAACGCACGTGAAGGTGAAAATATGGCGGTAAAGAAATTCGATAGGGCCTTAAAGGCCCCCTCAAGGCCCCGCGCGTACGTGACTGGGATCGACTTCCCCTCAAATCTAATGCACAGGAAGATTTTGTGCGCGAGGCTCCGCCTCTCGCTTCTATCCGACCCATTCTAAACAAATGAATCATGCTCCAAAATGGCCGACTGAATTTAGACGTCACGTGGTACGTATCGCAACACTCACGCATAGGATACGCACTCGCTGGACTTAGTGTATATATATATATATACGCTCATTCATATATGTATACACGTATGCAATGGAAGAGAGAATAACTCTCTTTCTATACCGACTCTATGTGTTTCTTCGGCTGGTGTGCTCTCCTCCTTCTCCCCTCTCTCTCTCTCTCTCTCTCTCTCGCAACCAACTCTAGGAGCTTACCCAGTTCACGGCTCTATACGTTTATACAGCCAGTCAGTCCTATTGCGTGATGTTTGCTATTAGCAAAAACACCAGATTACGCGTTCCCCACTGTCAAACGTCGCGTTCGTTATCATTTACGAATTTTTGTCATTTACGTAAGTCACAAGCAAAATGAAAGTCTCGTAGAACGTGGTCTCGGGCGAATATAAAATTGACGTAATTAATTAAATAAATTATTTTTTTGGGTAAATTTAAAAATACTGCCAAATTTTTGTCAATCGGTACAATAGCCTGATAAGGATATTACCACGAGGGCGAGCAGGGGTGTGTAATGAAAATTCTGATCGATCAATGGGGGCTCCAGGAGGGGGATCTGACTGATCCATTGGGGAACGTAGGTCTGACTCGAATTGGTATTACGTAGGTGACTCGGTAGGCGTTCGTAAGAAATGAAAAGTGTCTTTTTTAACTTTTCGGTATAGGACGCAAAGCATTGGCTAGGAAGAGAAAGGCACCGAGCAGTGGCGGTGGCGAAGTGCGGTGCACATAGAAGGCCAGGAGGAATTTAATGTCAAGTATAGGATTGAATTAGCGAGGATGCCGATGGGGCGCGCCACACTCCTCGTCACGTTTCTGGAAAACACATTAATTTCGACGGCCATGGCGACGCTCGACGTTGCGTAAGCGTTGATCGCGATGGCCGCCTATATACGGTCAGACGTCTTGTCGAGTAGCTCGGATGGACCGCTGCGCGCACTTTGGGTATATCTAATCTTCATGCACTTTTGACAGCCATCTTGAAACCCGACCTCTGCCATCTTGAAACGTATCCCACGTCAGCTACGAATTTCTTGGACTGTCTCGAGGCTCCTGTGACTCCTTGCTCTCCTTTGTGTGTCTTTATCATCAAAATATGAATTTTTATTATTGCTCGTTGCGAAAGAAAATTGCTCTCGCAATCTTCATGAGGATATATTTTTATTCGGAATTTATTTATTTTTTTTTTTCTTTCCTTTGCCAATCAACGAAATTATCTTTCGAACGGAATATCCAAAGGCGGTCGTTCGAACGTTTGGCAGGATTGTACGCACGAAAAGTAGCGAATCGTCGTACGCGCTTGCGATTAATGTTTAAATTTCAAATCGCAGCGGCAACTGCATTAAATTGTCTTCTATTAAAAGTGTCATGGCCACAGCGCCACAAAGGAGCAGGGATCGTGCGGTTCCCGAACGCTGGCTCTCAGTGTGCGCGTACACGGACGTACGCTTCACAATTGCGCGCATACTCGCGCGAATTCCATACCGAACCTCATATACATATTTACGTGTATGTACACATAGTATATGCGGTTATGTACCGCCATCCACTATAAGAACAAGAATAAAATCGAACAAGGAAATGAAACCGAAAAAGACGAAAGAAATATTGGAGATAAATAAAGGAAATTCCAAAAATCATGAAATTACATGTTTTTCGTATAAATTGCAAAATTTTATTTTAATTGTGCAAATTATATATTAGGTAACCTAGCAATTTTAAGAACGCGGTATCTTGTACATTCCTATACCTGAGATGCGTAAGTGCATTGAATTATGGAAATTACATATAAGCCGAGCACATGTACAGGATAGCCAGATTGCGTTGGAACTGAAGATAAGGGCCCGAAGGCTGATCTCTAGCTTTGGTTCTGTACAGGTAAGGTACGTACCAACGAAAGATACTTGAGGACATTGAATGGCGTAGCTGATGCAGCTCGTGTCGCAGCTGCAGCCAGTGTAGCCGGTCGGATATGAATGAAGAGGAACTTGGGTAGCATCGCGCCTACATTGACGAGTACCCCGCGTATCAGGTCGAGTACCACAAGCACACCCTATAGCCGGGAAGTGGATCGATGAGGATCGAGAATCGCGGATACTGCGTCCAGGCTGCACCGCCGTCATGACCCTCCCTCCTCGTGGCGCCTTCTTAGCCTTCTTAGCCTTCCAAGTGTCCGTACGGTGGTTAGACACACAGTGCCAGGGAACAGTAACGTCGATTGGGAAAACCGAAGGAAAGTCCTCCGTGGGTCCGGATACGAGGAAAGAACGAGGAGAGGGAGAAAAAGGGAAGAAGAGGAAAAGAGAAAAAACAGGTCCGACTCTTTCATACCTTCCACCTCGAGTTCCTCATTCAGCTTAAACTCCCCATTCACCGAGCCAAGGACCCTCCGATCAAAGGTCCCCCCCCCCCACCTCCCTGTCTCTCTTTAGCGTACCAACTCCGTAGGTTGAACGAGTTCCAAAACAGAAAGTATCTACGTACCACCCTGGAGCACTGAGAAACCTCGGTAGACTCTCACGTACCAAAACTAAGCGGGAAATTCAAAAAGCTTGACGTTAAAGGTGTACGCTCTAAAGTGTCTAAGAACGTTTACGTACTGTAAAGACGTACAATATAAAATTCGTAATTCGACACTCTCGACGAAGTAGCCCAAAGGCTCGATACTTTTGTGCGACCCTGTACAACGAAAGGTACTCACACGGGTGAACTCGGAAAATGTGCAATTGGACCGTCGTCGACGCCGTCGTGAAGGATATCTACGTACGGAGGTATACCTATAGACTGCAGTATTAGTTCTGTATGCGTACACCGCCGAATGTCACTGTGTCACCATATAGTAGATGGCGCTGTATGCTCTTGGAGAAGAAGCGAAGGTGGCGGCGTGGCGGAGAGTTTGCAATGTCGGTGCAACGAGCGCGTCCCTGTGTTCGGGTCGGATACACGACGCCATTGGTGGTTGTGTTATTGGTGGTAGTAGGAGCCGGCAATGGTAGAGGTATAGTAACAGTACTGTTACTATACCAGGTCGCTGTGGTGGTTAGTTGCATAGGTGACGTATAGTGTATAGAGTAGCGCGACTAGTGGTGGTGGTGATGGTGGGGTTGGACGACGACGCTCCTAGCGCGCAAGCCGCGCTGGCGGACGCGGATGCAGTTACGGGAGCGCAGCGCGACCCAACGCAACTCGCAAAACGCATCCAGCCGGAGCAGTCGAGAGCACTCTCTCCGTATCGCGCGACTCAAGGAGAGGTGGCTTTGGGAGGAAGAGGAAGAAGAAGAAGAAGAAGAAGAAGAAGAAAAGGAGATAGAAAGACGTGTGTGTGTGTGTATATATATATATACAATATATATGAATAGATATATACATACATATACATAAGGAGAGGAAGGGCGTCGAAAAGAAAAAAAAAGCGAGGGAAAGAGGATTAAGGTAGAGGAAGAAAAGAGGAAGTGGAGAACGAAGAAGAGGAAGAGAAATTGGAAGGAAGTGAGGATCGAAGGAAGGAAGACGCATGCACGGAATGCACTCACGCGCGTCAACGCTGCTGGACAACGCGAGAGGGAGTAACTGAGAGAGAGAGAGAGAGAGAGAGAGAGAGAGAAAGGATCCCCGAGGGAGACACGTAATATAAAGGAAGACAAGGGAAAGAAACGGGAGTGCGGATGGGAAACTGTACATAAGGTGGCTGTCAATTTGATATGGAATCAAGAATGCCTGGAGGTGCGCTGATTATAAATGAATATTGTTGGCACGTCGGATTGGTGTTTCGTCCTTCCGGATGGTCGCTTATCGAGTTGTGCACGTTGTTGTAAATTGTTTCACGTTGTCTGTGGTGTTTGAGAATCGACGTCGGGAGACGTGAACGTTTAAGTGCGTCGGCACGCGGCGGCATTATCGCGCGAGGCCGCACGACGAAAAAGCCGACGAAAGGCCGCACATTGTACCGGACCGATAGAGCAAGGTGAGAAATTGCAGTTTAATGTTTTGAGGTGGCTTGCGAATATTCGTTGAAAGGAAAGCGAGAGCTCGTGCGAGGAAAGGCTCGTCGAAAAGAATAAACGCGTAACCGGCGCGAGTGAATCCTTGGAAATTCGATCGTCTCGTGACTTTGGAAAACACGGTGCCTGCGTCACGCGTCAAAACAGCAACCGATTCTTCTTTGTTCCCGAGCGACTGCCGGGCTTTCGAATCGGTCGACGTAACGTGATCGCGTCCCAAGCAGATGAGACGTAAAATTGAAAAATCAACTCCGTGCAAAGTGAAGGTCGTCGTAATCGAAAAAGGTACATGATCTGACACGGTGGCCGAGTATTTCCAAAATCAAACGAAGAAAATTATCGTGCGGAAGGGTTACGGTCTCTCCTGTGAACCTGTGCCGATCAACAACAACAACGGTTCTCTCTTCGTCTCTCTCACTCGATCCCTCGTGTGCCTCCCTTCTCCTCTCTCACTCTCTCTCTCTCTCTCTCACACGATCCACACGAGATCCACACGAGGAGAGGGCGCGCGCGCGCGCCCGCGCAACGTTTGCCTTCCTCTCTCTCTCTCTCTCTCTCTCTCTCTCTCTCTCTCTCCTGTGATCGGTTCCTCCCCTCGCCCCCCTTTACTTGTTCGCTCGGCTACCAGCCTCCACCGGTACGATCGGCCTCGTGCTCGACGCCGATCAAACGCGCGACGCCACGACGACGCGGACGTCTTTCGACGTGTCGTCGGCAAATCCGAGGAAGAAAAGAAGGCGCGACGCGTCGCGCCTCGTGGAAAAAAGGGAAGAAACTGAATTATCGTTATCCTCGGTTCTAACGGACGCGCATTATCGTATTGTCGATCGACGTAGAAGACGGTGGTGTTAAGGTGCGGTTTTGAGAGATGCTAGACATTGACTCGCGTGCAACTGCGGGCTCCGATGCTGCGAGCTCGTTTCACGGAATTCCAAGCCGATTCCTCTGCTGATTCCAAGTTCCTCTACTTTCGTCGACGTGGGAAAACACACGGGAGGCCTGCGTGCCCGATCTCTCCTCTGCGCTGCGGATACGACAGTGAGTAGACAGTGGTTAATGGCTCTTACCAATTTTCGTGCTTGATCGTCGTACGATCGGCATTGCTTTATGTGCGCATAAAGTGTCTCTGTGATCACGTGGATCCGATCGGTGAGCGATCGAAGGCTTTTCCTATAGGATCACCGGTGCGTCGCGGAGGCGGGTTCGCGGGATGACCTTTGCCCACCTCCCGTGAGGAATCGGCGGCACGGAAATATGGTTGTTCGTGTTCGGGACGTGTGCGGCCCTGAGGATGAGGGAATTAGCAGTGGGAGGGGGGGATTGTAGTGAGATTAAAAATTAACCCATGCAAACGTACGAGGACGCGTGGTAGCCATTGTTGTGCGGCAAAATGGCCGAAATATCGCAGCCTCATCCGAATGGAGTGTGTGCGCGCTCGTGTTTTTCTCTTCTTCGTATCTATAAGTGCAGTGGCTGTATCAACCTTCTTTCTCGTCCTTTCTCCTCTCTTATTACTCCTACTTCTTTGAATCTTCTTCTTCAGACACTTTGTACATGCACGAGCATTCCTGGCATCGGCCCGTCCGACCGCGTCAAGCCGTGGTGGAACTCGCCTTTTCCCAGGCGCAACTCCCGGAAAGGCAGGAATCGTCCCCTTGGAAACGTTCCAGCGGCATTTTCTTATCGCTGTTTTGTCTGCTTGTTCCCACCTTTTGTACACTTCTGTACCGAGTTAGCTGACCTCGATAGGATTTTACCCTATCGCGCGACTCTTAAACTTCTCGCCCCCGATCAGTTTCCTACGTCATTACTTGGCAAGCACGTGGTTCGATAATTGGCCATGATACCCAATATCGCGATAGGCGGTACGTAGAAAAATCATCTGAAAAACTTCTATTGTGCTTATTTCTTCAACTTTCTGCAGCACGTCTCGGGACGTCGTGTGCACGTGGATTTTCGAGATTGGCCATTTTTTCAATTCTACGAATAGCCTCACCACTTCTCTCTCTCTCCTTTCAATTCTAGTCTTTTTTTCTTACTCTTCGTGTATTTCATATTCCTTTTATTCCTATAGCGCAAAGCACGTGCGCCGCCGTCGTGTCACTATCGAAATCTACCTAATGACTCTCTTCGGATCTTCTTGAGAAATCGCTAAGGCACCGAGTCAGTACGCACTGTGCACTTACCGTATGTACAACGAGCAACGAGAGTCTCGTATCGCGACTCGTAGTCTATTCTCGGCCTGTCGCACGTCCTTGCGTCGTCGTGCCGTGTAAACGGACGCGCGATTAAGGCAATTCGCATTAGACGATCCACGAGACTGCGATACTCGTCGCATCTTTTGTCGTCGCCATGAGTATAAATACATAGTAATAGTCATTGCAACTTTACGACCTGCGTTAGCAACGAGTAGCAACGAGTATCGTTTATTTCAGTTTTACGAATTTTCATCGTATCAACGTTTTCGAGATGATTTGCGTATTTAAAAAAAAAAATTTTCACGCACTTTGCTTATTACGGATAAAACCGTGAGTTACATTTCTTTTACCTAAATATCGTTAAATGTATTTTTTTTTTTTTTTTTTTTTT